TATTATTTTTCAACCATTACTCATTTAAAAGATGCTTCCTAGAAACCATTTAGCTCTGCAAAACTTGTACAAAAAGATGCAGCTAATCATACGGTATGTAAAACCTGAAGGTCCTTATGTTCCTACTGGTAATTACTGAAGGCTGGGATAGAGTTGACAGTATTGTTCATATTCAGAATGAAACCTCTTACTATATAGGACTGGATGCCTCTGGGGTAGATGAAGTGCTGTAGAACCTTTAATCTCTGGATCACCAATTTGATATCTGGCTTGGGTTGGTAGTGATTGAAAGTTGTTACTGCTAGACATGGCTCAGAAACAGATTTTTAAAATGCAATTTTCCCCAGATTTTTAAGAAACCAAACTATGTAGACTAGCTCTGTGTTGGTTTAAAAAAAAACCTGTGAAAATTGTCTAAATTTTCTTTCCCAAAAATATCCAGAAGTTTGAGGAGGACAGAGGGTCAAACAAGGCAAAATATGCATGCTGAATGTAAACACTCAATTGGGGCTAGATTCACTTCAGTGAAGCCTTGGACTTCAGTGGGACCACTCACATGGGTAAATACTCTTTTGGGTGAGTGAGTGTTCCCACAGTAAAATAAAGCAGAGAATTTGACTGTGGTATTTCTTTTCAGAGAAGTCTTATTTACACTGAATATTTAAAATAACTTCGCTACAATAAAAACACTTCCCTTTTTACCTGCCTCTTACCTCAGATCAATTTTGTTTAGCAAGAGCTCCATCAAGATATGTTGTAGGGTATTTCTCTGAGGTTTGCACGATTACTTAATTCCTAATACAAATCCCAGAATAGACGCTAGAAGAAAAAACTGGCTTACAGGACTAACAAAGGTTTCCCATATTGAGGTTTACATTGAAGGATTACTTTCTCATTCAATAATATTGCATTTGGTTACAAATTATAAAAAGGGAATTAATTAATTTACAATAGGTACCTAAAAGAACCTGTCATATTATTCATTGTGAATAATGTATCTGAACAATTTAGTCCTTATTCCTTTTTGTACGTTGTCTACAAACTGTTAATCGTTTTTGTACATTGGCTCATTTTTTTGCAATTGCTCACTGACCAGTTTTGTGAAGTTTTATTTGCAGACTCATCTCTGAGTATTTGGTATTATTTGCATGGCTTGTTTATTCCTGTAAGTCCCCTGCTTTTCTTTTCCATCCCTGCATGAATGGCTTCAGTTTTGTAAACAAAAATCACACTTCCTCCCCTCTTTTTGTCCACAAATTATCCTTGAACATTCTTAATTGTTTATCGAATCTATTGTGTGAATAATTAAAAGAGCTGTTCAGAATAGTCACAGGAGCCTTTGCATTGTGAATGCTCTTGCAAATATATATTCATGGTGGTATTTGGAATGGTTTTGCTCTCCTCTACCACCACTTTTTGTGAATAAAAACACAAATTTCATTAATTCATAAATAAAAGTGGGCACGGATTGGTGAGTGTTACGTGCAAGAATATTAAACCAATACTTCCTAGCGATATTTCCTCAGGTCTAGAGCAGTGATTAATTAAACCCACAGGAGAATATTCTCTTCTTTGATTCACACAATATTGATTTCTGTTACATATGTTCACTCTTACCCCAGGGTGAGCACCCTTTTCAACATGCGTCTTCCATTTGCTACCACAGTTATTTTAATCTTAAATAAATCATTAAACCATCTTGACCTTATTCTATTTATATGCAAATCTCTTGCAGCTCACTCAGTTTTTTCTTTTTTAAATCTATTATTTTTCTTTTGACCCAACACTAGGATTACAGGGATTAAAAGGGTCACAAGGTCCCCCAGGAAAGATGGGTCCTGCTGGACAAGTAGGAGGAAAGGGCTCACCAGGAGAAAAAGGCACAAAAGGAGATATTGGAGATAGAGGTAAGAGCTATGATGATTTTGATTGGGAAGGTTAATGTGATCACTAGCCATTCACCATCTGAAAAAATCTTAAAAGAACTGAAATTAAGCAGAACTGAAAGTAAACATGTTTACTCCAACTAAATTAATCTTAATGGTGGACCTTCGAGTACTAAAATACATGATCTATGGGGTTATAACTACTACTATTGGGATAAAAACTGAACAAAAGTAAATTTAGGTTAAATATCCAAATATATGTATGTATACAGTATTGGAACAATCCTATACTGCCCCAGGAGATAGAGAAAATCTCCTGATAGTAGAGATGAGCCTATACCATAAAATTTGAATGTAGGGCTTAGTTTGGGCCTTATAGTAAAACTGTGAAAAGACCAGTGGCTTAGCTTCACAGGAATTTGAACAAAGCATTTATCTAGCCTTGATCCTTGTACCTTCTCATCCAAAAATATTTTACTTTCAATTTCAACCAGTTTTGTAACAAAATTGCAAATTTCACATGATTTTCAGACAAAATTATAAATGAGGCTACGGTGTCGTCATTCTGTATTAATCTAGGTACATGTGAAATTTATTGAACTTTTCAGTGGTCTTAGTTTTGTGTTCATCTTCAGAGAGGATATCAAATGAGTTTTGTATTGTTTCACTGCAAACATTTCATATGGGTCCTACCAAACAGGGCTTTCATATTTTTAGTTTATAGCATTTTTAAAAATGAATAAAAATGACTTTGCATACTCAGAATTCAGATGAACAGAACTCTTTAAAACAGATTTTACCTTTGTCATAATTCTCTAATTTCAAACAGAACTCCCTTTCCTTGGAAAAAATGAGTGGGTCAAGGATTTTGCACCAAAAAGAGCAATCTAATTTTGATTATTGAATTGGCTACTGATTGTATGTTATCACATTCCGGTCATCACTCTCAACTTGTTCATCTCAATTTGTTGCCCATACACAAAGTTGCAACCAGTCAGGCATTATTAAAAAAAGAATGGATCTTTCCAAGCAGGGACAGTCGTTTTAATAGGGTTATGATATAAATGAACATTTCATGCATTTCCCTTTCACCCTGTTTCATCAGGATTACAAGGTGTCCCAGGTCTGAAGGGTAACCCAGGCAGTGCAGGCCCTTCTGGGCCAAAAGGGGATAAAGGTTCAACAGGTGAAAAAGGAGTAAAAGGGGAGAGAGGTAAGTGGTGTCATTAGACTGTATTGTGCACTTCAGTGATTCTTTCCAATCTAATGGTGCTGTACAGTATTCAAAAATAGATATTGTGGGTTATTGTGCACTTGGATATGTGCAATTTTCTTTAACTTTCTCTAATTTCTATATGATGTGGGAATTATACAAGTCGCAATTGAATCATCTAGCTGGGATGGGATAGTTTGACTGTGCACCAAAAAGCAGTAGGAATTTTCCCTCTGATATTTATAATCTGTAACATGATGGTGCTAGATTTCAAAATCCACACACTCCTCAAGTCTCCCTGTGCATTTACTGAGTCTATCATCAAGTAACCGGCAAAGCCCAGAATTATTCCCATCAGGAGACTCACTGAGAATAAAATTGCTGGGTTTGTACATCTCATTCCCTTCATCACTCCCTAGGCCTGCCAGGAACTACAGGTTCGCAGGGCCAGAAAGGAATCGCAGGCTCCCCTGGGCCAAAAGGGGACAAAGGTTCAGTAGGTGAAAAGGGAGCAAAAGGAGACAAAGGAGACAGAGGTAAGTGATGTAGACAGGCTTGAATTCTGCATTGCAAAGATTGCTTCCAATTTAACAATTTCTCTTCTGCTGCAAATTTCCACAGCTCCATTGCCTCCATTTACCCTGGCCGAGAACTTGTCCCGTAGACTTAGGAGATAGTGACGGACACAAGTTGAAAGGGTTCAAGATTCCATTTAGTTAAATACAAAGCCAAAGGCTGTACACTTATCTGAAGCATAACCAAATCTCCTTTGCCCTAGAAATCAGGACTCAGCTCTTGGAAATACAGCCTCTCTAATGAAATTAATGGAATTCTTAGTTCTAACCGATTGAAAACTACTGAGTAAATAGCTTGCTTTTTTTCCAGAATTTCAGTATTTCAATGTTTCCATGTTTAACCAATGCCAGTTAGGGCTTTACTACACAGGGAAATTGGCCGGCATAATAATAGTGGAATAGATATATTGCACTGTAGCTTTATTGGTCAATTTCCCCATGTAGACAAGCCCTTAGTGTAGTTAGGAGTACAAAAATAAGCATTCCCAGAAAGTTAAACTAACTTTCCTGACAGTAAACCAATCCTTAATTTAAGTTCAAATAAGGACATATCTTATCTAAACTAGTTTCATCACCCCACAGTACATGAATTGCTAAATCTTAACAGAACTTCTATTTGTATTTACCTGCAATTGCTACATGATGTCAGAATTATGTAAGTCTTAATAAAATTGCTTTAGTATTCCTAAGTAATCTGATATTCATCATTTAGATTTAATGGGTATTAGATGGTGGAGTTACGTCTACCATTATTAGATGCACTCTTCACATTTCTCTGTGCAATTGTTGCTCAGGCAGTGTAACATCAAGCAAACGGCAAAGAGCATATATGTCACTACTGTAATTATAATTCTTAATAGTGATATAGTGCTTTGCGTTTTCAAAGTGCTTTACAAATATTAATCACTTCTGAAGGTGTGTGATTATCCATATTTTACAAATGAAGAAACTGGGGCACAACCTGTGGAAGTTGTAATTTGTCCAACATTAGCATTAGAGCTTTTATTAGAACTCAGGGATCCCTGGATCTCAGCCCGTGTTCAAATAAATAAAAATATGTGAGAGCACGGTTATCCATTTATTAGAGCAGTGTATTGCGTGTCAGGACACCTGGGTTCTATACCTTGCCCTGCTACTGTTTCACTATGTGACCTCGGCCAATAGGGTTGCCTCTCTGGATCTCAGTTACTTTATTTGCTTAGTTCAAAGACAGCATCAAGGCTAAATTGATTGATTGTTGGTAAAATATTATGAGATTTTTAGAGGAAAGACGTTGTGTAAATGCCCATTATTTTATATATGAAATTAGAAAACTATCTGCAGATTAACTTGTTCTCTTTGTATCTGTTTGACTTGCTCTAACAATAGGGTTACAAGGAAGCTCAGGTTTACAGGGTCCCAAAGGGCAAATTGGTTCTCCTGGGCTAAAAGGTGATAAAGGTTCAGTAGGTGAAAAAGGAACAAAGGGAGACAGTGGACTATCAGGTACGTAAAGCAGTGGGGTTTGTTTGTTTGCTGGGGAAGGGACTTAAGGGTTTTCTCTGTTGGTGTGTGCTAATGAATTTTGGACCACTTTCTACCCCTCATCCACAAGTGGGCTCAAGTAAGCCCCATCTGGGGAAAAATGTATGAGGAGAGATTCTCTCTCTACCAATGTATATTCAATTTACATGTTCATAATTTACATTATGTAAAACTGGTTCACCAGCAAAATGCAAGACATTACCTAAAATAAAGATCAAAATATCGCTATGAAATATAAGATTAATCAGTAGTATTTTATAAATTATATAGCAGCCATCTGTTTCATGGATAGAATCCTGGTCCCACTGAGTCAATGACAAAACTCCTGTTTACATAATGGAGCGAAGATTTCAAATCATAAAAATCACAGAGTAGTAAACCCATTCTAGTAATCACAAAATCTTCCTATGTATGATGAATTTATATTTTCAAAAATAATTTTAAAAATTGTACTGCTTCCTTTCTGGCTCTTTTCTGATCGAGAAAAAATACCTTGAAATTTTCATGAGGACTCCAGTATATTTGTGGATATAGCTCACTGTAGATTATTTTAATCCCTAGAGTGAAGGGGGAGGGGCAAGGAGCTTCTTACTTTAGACCAAATGATAAAACGCTTCACTAGAGCTTAATTATCCATTATTTTCTACCCCTCTAACACAGACATTAACCCAAGGGTGGACGTTGGATATCACTTTTGGTAGCTTGCTAAAAAGAAATCATGCTGAGAGTAATGAGAGAATCAAAATATTGCACTATCCCAGGATGCAGATTGTCTGTTACAGAGTGTTTGTATGTGTGTATGTATATTATCTAGATAAATAAATTGAGATCTAGATAATACCTCATATGTAGATAAAGTAAAACCAGCATGTCCAAGCTCATAACAATGTTGTGAACCGTCCCTAGGGTACCATTTAGAAGTGCCCTCCCACCCCGCCCATCTACAACTTCAAAACACCCTCCTCCAACTCCACCTAATTGTTTACTGAGTGTAAAATGACACATCTCAGTGATATAGTAGCAGTGGAGAAAGCATTTTTAGCATTATGTAGCCCAGGACGACCAGTCTGGGCACTCAGGCCATGTCTACACTTACCGGTAGATCGGTAATGCTGCAAGAATCGATGCAGTGAGTGTCAATTCAGCGGGTCTGGTAAAGACATGCTAAATCAATGGGAGAGTACTCTCCCATCAATTTGTGTACTCCACCTCCCTGAGAAGCGTGAGGGAAGTCGACAGGAGATGCTCTCCCATTGACACAATGCTGTGTAGCCACCGCGGTAAGTGAATCTAACTATGTCGACTTCAGTTACGTTATTCACATAACTGAAGTTGCACGAGTTAGATCCATTTACTGTGGTATTGTAGACCAGATCTCAAAAAGTGATATACCTACAGACTTTGGTCCCCAAGCACTATACGTGTGGATAGTGTAACGATGTTTACTCCAGGCCTGTCCTTAAAGAGAAGGAGTAGGTAGAAATGATGCAATCTTTCCTTCAGGTAATGGATAGACACATCCACACATCCTGTGTAATTCTTATCCCATAAAAAAGCTAGGCAATCCAGGTTTAGATCTATAACCTGGACATATAGCGATTTAGATCATAACCAAGACATCTGTAGAGTAGAAACTACAGGTCTGCTGTTATTTATCTGTATTACTTATTTCTTTTAACATTAAGATTAATGCAACTTTCTTCATTCAGAGATCAATCTCCTTAAAAGACAAGTAAGTACTTTGGAAGGGCAGCTGAGAGCTCTGCAAAGCAGCTTCTCCAAGTACAAACAAGGTAAGATGATGCTGTAGTAGGATGCTGCCTTTCAACACAATTTTACCTCTGATCTCTTTTAAGCCTTCTGTGCTGGAGGAACCAACTAGGGGCAAAGC